TGAATTGACTGCAAATCAGATCCATGAGTTGAAAACAAAAATCCATGAGGGGAGGAGGGTTTTCTAAAGCATGATCCCTGGAATGGTTTCCCTGAGGAAAGAAGGGAATTCACTCCCCCACAACCCCCCACAGCTGCTCCCCAACATCCGCTGGAGAAATGGAGACCAGGAGGCTAGGTCTCCGAAAGACAGCTGTGAGAGTTCATTTTCCATTTTGCAAACTAATTTTGTTCTTGTCAGTTGCAATGCTCTGCCAAGTGGTGGATGGGAATTTCTAAATCAAAAACCACTAACCTCAAACCACAACCAGCGCATGTGAAACTTCAGAAACTACTCCCAGAAACTACATACCAGAACGTATGGTAATAATACTATAACTATTTGTAACATACTGCCAGGTTGGTCACGTTTAGAAAATTCATAGCACATTTTTGGCACACAATCTATTCAGAATAATGGTGATAAAGATGTATATATAAAAATGTATGTTTTTAATGGCCCTATTTATTTTATTGATGCAAGACAGTAAGTTAGCTAAATCTCCATCATCAATCTGTATGCCTCAGGTACAGATTAGGTCCCTGCAAAGCCAGTTGTTTATACCTTTTAATCCAATTATGCTCAGTCTTCAAAACTGATATAGAAACTCTGCAGACTTTTAGTTGCTGTGAGGGGTGCGTGTGTGTGTGTGTGTGTCTGTGTGCACGTGTGCATGCCCACATGCACGCACACCCTTCTCTGAGACACCTTATTTCATTGGAAAAAAAAACAACCCTGAAATGTTTTAAGATTTATGAAGTCAGAAGCATCTCTGACAACTTGTGAGGGTTGTTTCAAGACTTTCATTGCTTCAACATGAACTAATAACCCAAGGGAAGCTGAAACCTTCACTAGAATTTAAAGCTGGAGGTCTGAACCCTCAGGACCCAACATCTAAAAGAGTTGCTAAGAGTCTTGACAGGAGATCAGGACCAAGACAGAGCTGGGAAATAACAGCAACAACCATTCTGAGAGTGGTGAGAAAGCAAACTCTTAGCTCAGGAACTGGCAGGGGGAAGAAAAGCCAGGTAAAAAAAAGAAAGTTCTGGCTAAGATGGCACCACAGGTGGGGAAATGGGGAGATGGTGGGTTGGTGCAGCAGGGGATGAATTGCCCTCAGTAAGTCGGGAAGGGGCTGCTCCTGTGGAATCCCTACTATTTGTTCTCTATTTGCACCAAGCCTGTTCAACATAGCCTGTGTGGATCATAGGACCACGCTATGACCCAATGCAACTTCATGTCATCCAGTGTCAGCCAGGCCTTCTGGTGCTGTCTGCCCCACAGAGGATTCGAGAGCCTGGCCGGAGTAGGTCACATTGCCACATCCCAGATTCGTGGACATCCAGTCTCTCCTTGACATAAAAGTCAACTGCATTCCACTGGGCCCCCTGACGTGCTCAGCATCCCTTTTACTGACCTCCATGCAGATGCTTCCCAGGCTCCACCGAGACCTAGCCAGATATTCTGTTTTTTTCAGTCCCTAATTTAATCCTTCTTTCTCCTTACCATCGTGCCACTTTCATAGTGGGAGAGAGGACTCCTCAAATCCTACCATTTAACTCTTAGGGAGCCCTTTGTAACCGATGCCGTGCAAATGAATGCTCTGGATGGATGCAATGTGGTGCTGTGGAAAGAATACTTTCAGACCTGGTTCAGTCCTGACTCAACCGCTTTCTAGCTGTGTGACCTTGAGCAAATTACCTAACCTTGCTGAGCCTCAGTTTGCTCGTCTCCGAAATGGTCCCAATAATGCATATCATCATAGAGGATAATCTGAGACTTAAGGGGCTCGTATGTGTAAATCACTCGCCAAGGGCCACATAGCACTTTACACCTGTGTCACCTTCCTCTCCCTGTCTTTCTCTTTTATCTTTGTTCCCCTCCACCTTCAAACTCGGGCCTCACCCTTTCTCTCCTTACTTCATCATGCATCAGGTAAACCTGCGCCTCCCCAGGGCAAACGGCTTCCCCTCCCTTCCATCCCTGCCCCTCACTCTGATTAGCTCCTCTCGTGTCTTCTGGCTCTTCCTTTCCAGCATCTTCTGATCCTGAGACAGCAAATATGCTCAAGGTGGTGTTGTCCTAAAGAGAAAAGCCTTCCTTCGGCCAGCTTCCCGATTATGTTTGTCACATTTGTTGTCATACAAATTTGCCATACAAATCGCTTTGCCTGAGCTAGCCTGGAACTCTATTAAGAGATGATTACACGTACAAGTATAATCTTGGGGGTGAGGCCCAATGGGGAACCCCTGTCTCAGGCTGCTCCCTTTCCCTCAGGCAGAGCCCCAACCTGTTCCAGATACATGACACTAATACTTGGAAGACTCAGTAAACGCACGTCATTTCATCCCTCGTCAAATGTTCAAATGCTTCCAAAATTCTAACTTAGATTCCAGAGGCCTGTTGTTCCATCCACCATTAAAAAAGCATTTTCACCCTTGTGTTTAAAGCTCTGGATTGCAAGATTCTAATTCTTCGTGAGTGAGTGAAAGGTAGTTAGCCCTCCACACTTCCTACCCTTACACCCCTCTCATTAAAAAAAGCATTGTTTTTATTCCTAATGGAGACAAAGGCTTCCATCTCCGGATCTTTCTGGTAGTCATTTGTGGCCAGTGTTTTCCTGTTTCTTTTTCAGCTTTCTCCATCATTAACCAGATAAACTGGTTAACTCATTGTTTGGCAAACAGGCCTTGAGGTTTCCCACTCGCTCACTTCTGTACACCAAAACAGCAGTTCCCTGATCTCTAAGGGTCAATTGCTCCTCCTCATGAAGGACCAGGCTGGATGCCATAGTCCTCGTGAAGTCCGCTCTGTTCACAACTGAAAATATGTCCTCTCTCCTCCGAACTCCTTCCGTGTTTCTAGCTGAGCCACAAGGCTCCATGCCTTATGACAGCTCCTTCTTATCTTGTTGATCTGCTTTATTATTTGACATTGTGTGTGCATACTTTGTCTCTCAATTAGCCCACAAGGTTCTGGGGGGCAGAGACCATTTTTCTCCCACCCTCTGCCATCCCCGCATAGCCTGGGACAGAGTAAGTACTTTGTATGATCCCGTTTCTGTTCCCTCCCCAAGTATTATCCCACTGTTACCCTCATTGACCTTCACTTTATGTCTGACTCTTTTCACAATACGGATTTTTAAAAATTTTTTGAATTCACTCTGCAATCACTGGAAAGCATCCTTCTTCCAGACTTGATTTCAGGTGTGACTTAATAAGCATAATAATGGTTCCTTCTTCTAGCCATTAGTAAATCAGTCCAAGAATATCACAAATTGAGTATCCACTGTGAGCAGGGTGCTGAACCAAGGGCTCATATTAAAGAGTACAGAAAATGTGGAAGATGTGATATAAAAGGGCAAGAGTTCAGAGTTGTTGATATGCTATATATATTTGCACTCTTTACATTCTTTTTGGTCTTAGGTGATTTCGTACATATATAACATATATGTAAATGTATAGAGAGGGTTGAGAGTTATATATTACTCATATAGAGAGAGTTATATAGTTATATAGAGTTATATATATAGTTATATAGAGTTATATATAACTCTCCCTATATATAACTTATATATGTACATATATATATGTTATATACGTTATATATGTACATATATAAGTTATATATGTACGAAATCACCTAAGATCAAAAAGAATGTAAAGAGTGCAAAGATATATAATGTAAAACCATTAGGAGTTTACAGAAGAACCATTCTAATGAATTATGCTTCGTAGGGGAAATATGTTTTGGAACAGGTGATTTGGACCCATGTTTTGAAGAAAAAGAGAGGCCACAGGGTCCATAAAAGCAAAGCCCACGCCTCTTTTTGCTCACCAGCTTTCCCCACTACTTCCTGCAGCCTGGTCCACTGTAGACATGCAGTGAATAGCGCCTGAATGCATGAATAGCCAAACACTGAGGGAAGGGAAGACTAGGTTACGTAGAAGAGCGAGCATGTTATGCTAGGGAAGCAGCCATTTATTTTCCTGGGTGGAGCCAAGAAATAACATGCAAAATGATGGAAAGGAAAATGATGAATGGCATTGAAGTCTTGCCAGGAATTTTGGTTTTAACAGATAGTAACAAACACTTTATTATCCCTTCATTCATTTATTCCGCAAATATGTCTTAAGCATCTACTGTGTGCCAAAGCACTATGCTAAGACCCGAGGACTCTGTAGCGAACAGAACACAGTCTCTGTCTTCAAGGACTGGGCAGCCTTTCAACATGAGCTAGTAAGTGGCGGCACATACTTACGGCTCTGGTTAGTGTTATCCTAACAGTCTTTAGCAAAGGGGAGCAATCTGTCTAGCCTCCATCATAGACAGCTCCGGTGAAGAGCAGAAGCCTTCGTTAAAAGGAGCCTCAATGTGAAGTACGTCAAAATAGCAGATGATTTGAAGGCAGTGAGGAGGATTGAGAACCTAAGGAAGAACTTTTTGCCTGGGAGGTTGTCTGGGATTATAGAATGGTCGGAGCTGTGGAACCAGCCTGAGTTTATTTACGGGCCCTTGCATGAGCCCAGGACTGTCAGTTGCCTCGTGTTGGGGTCTGAATGATGGGCTAAGAGGATAAAACTCTTGGTTCAGGAAAAAAAGATGTTTACATTGATTTTTTGTGGGGTTCAGATTTGACTTGCCCTTTGGTGTATGTCCCCAGAGCCCTGGCTGAAATCAGTTTTATTAGAAACCAAAAACAGAAGTAACAACTTTTATTTAGGGACACAACTCTGCAGGTCAGATGACGCAGCAAATTAATTTTGAGGCAGGTGTGGAAATGAACAAGACCTCAGAGCGCTACTTCCAACAACAGACATTGGTTACTTTATTTCTGAAATCTTAGGAATTCTAAGATCCCAGCTTGTTACTAGAAGATCTCGGCCTTATTTTCCATTTAGCTCATTTTTTTTTCTTTTTCTCCTTTTTTCACTTCTTTCTTTTTTTCCACCCCCCCCCAGGATGACGGCCTCCCAGAAAATGAACATCAGCTGTCAGTAGCTGGAAAGATAAAGAAGCATTTCAACACAGGCCCCAAGCCGAATAGCACGGCCGCTGGAGTTTCTGTCATAGCAGTAAGCATCTGAAATATCCACCTTAACTTTTTAAAAAGCAATCCACCTAAGAGACAGGCGTTACTCAGGAGATCCCACCCAGAGACAGCAGAATGGGTCATTTATTTAGACAACTCGACCACTTAATGCACCGGGGGAGGTTTGGGGCTTGTATATATGATGTGTTTTTGCTGAACATTTCCCTAGGAGTCACATCATTATCCAACACCTCCAGGGTGTCTTGCAGGATATATTAATTTCATGATTTATTTTTTAAAGCAGAAAACCTCCCCCACAGTGGACTCTGTGCCAATGCAAACTTTGGGGCTCTGAGAAAAAGAGTTCCCAGTGTCCTTTTGCCAGGACCTGGAGGGAGAGGGAAGCTGAGAGAGACAACACTGCAGAGAGAGATCGGAACACTATAGATCTTTGTACGAGACCCAAATGAAAGCCAAAACATAGCAGGAGGCTTGCACAGTAAGATTTTCAGTGAAACTGAGTTGCTGTGAACACCCAAAGAAATAATGGTGTCTTGCTCCTTAGAAATCCCTGTTTTTAAACTTGAAAGTCTTTTACCATTTACCATTTTATTGATGTGGCTTCACAAGGATTTTTTTTTTTTTCTGTTCTATACATGCAGACATACACTATATGCAATTTGATAGCAGCTCTAGGCAAAGATTAAATTGGGCAGAGAAATAATGAAACCTCATACTTCCTGGTGTCATATTCTAGAGTAAATATATTCAAGTCCCAGATTACTTGAGTTTTTAATAATTTCCTCTTTTTTCAGAGTATGTAAATTTTAACAGCATATTCCACGTGGAATCACTTGAGCTGTTTTTCTTTTCTCAACAAAGCACTTAGACACTGCAATGTCGAATTTTAAAAAGTATATGTACTACGCAACAGTATCTTATGCTCATGAGCAATACTGAATGTTTTACCACTACTTTGGGTGTTCTATTCCCTTTCTCTTTCTCTTTTTCGGGTGTGTTAGAGCTCCAGATAAACTAAAGATAAATAATTGACATATTCGATACAATCCGTCCCAGATCTGGGTTACTAACTATTTGGTAGGAGCTTCCAGAATTTGTAGGTGGCACAAATGTATGCGTACACTTTCTTGTACTGTTTGCATTTCATGTTTTTTGACTGAACCCTTTCCACAGTGAGTTACAAGTGAGTAACTGGCTCATGAGCCCACTCACAGTGTTAAGTCGAGACTCTTTCAGATGCTCCTCAGTGCTGCTGAGGGTTTAAAATTGCAAGTTGTCCTTCTTGCCCTCTCTCTCTAGTTTGTTCTAAGGAAATTCAACGTAGAAGTGCATTGTCCTTCATGTCTTTGTAGATGTCAGTGTTCTTTGTGATCAGCTAGTATTCAGTCAGTAATTTGGGGACGTAACAATCTCATGGTGATTCTAAACTAAACCAGACCTTCTATACTCTGTTTTCACCATTCATTCAAGATACAAGTCTATTCCAAAATGTTCGATTCCACAATTTTCTTTTGGAATGGACTGCCAGCACGCTTGTCCATGAAAAGGACTGCTTTTCTGCTCCCACTGAGGGCTTACAAAGCTGCTAGAAAGGGTGCTTTCCCACCTTTGTCATTTTGTTTTTGTTTTCGTTTTTCTTGGTCTTTTATTTTAATTAGTCTTTGGTTAAGTTTGCCTTGGTTGCTCAATAATGGTTTGTTCACAGTATTCTGGGAGTCTTATAATGACCAAGGGCAGGAACTTCAGGGCAATTTTCCAGTGGATAGACAACACAGATTTGAGGAGAAATCCTACTTTAATCAAACGGGGATAAATTCCGAAACCTACTCCATCTGAGTTTATTAAAACTTTATCTAAGTAGATCTCAAAAAACTTAACTAGTATTTGAAGATCAAGGTCTATGGATCATGATTGGACCATTTTAAATACAATTTCATGTCTGTTTCTCGGTTCATCACTAACATGTTTCCATGGAAACTGTACGAACTAGCAATATACTTATAAATTGCAAAACGGACGGTGTAGGGCTGAGTTACGCATTGTGTGCTTATTGAATCTTCTTTATTCACTACAAACGTAAAAAGCATTATCAACTTAACTCAGACTCAAAATAATTAACTATTTGGAGAAATACCTGGAAAAGTGCCTTGTCCACTCTAAAGCACAATTCACATGTTAATTAGTATCACTAGTATTTCAAGCATGAAAGAGAGCACAACTGTAAATTTCAGGGGTTGTTTCAGGAGAATCTGGCCTGCCATGCATCCTCTCCAGAATGCTTTTCTCTCATAAATGTCCACACCCTCCATTAGAACCTGGGAGCGGTCACCAGTGGCAGGGAGGGGCTGGGGATCAGAAGTTGGCCAGTTTAGCTGCCTTCGTGAATAACTTTCAGAATAGCATTGGATAAGTCAATTTACGCTCCATAGCAGTTTTCCCATTCTTACAGGGCAAAGACTAAGTCTCAGGGGACCATCATAAGAGAAAGGAGCCCTGGCATTAAATAATACAGTTGACCCTTGAACAACACGGGTTTGAACTGCATGGGTCCACTTAGACGTGGATTGTTTTTAAATAAATACAAGACTGTAAGTGTATTTTCTCTTATGATTTTCTTAATGACATGTTCTTTTCTCCAGCTTACTTAATTTATACAGTATGTAATACATATCCAAAATATGTGTTAATCAACTGTTTATGTTATCAGTAAGGCTTCCTCTGGTTAGCAGTAGGCTCTTAGTAGTTAAGTATTTTGGGGGGGGGGTCAAAATTTATACATGGATTTCCGACTGTGCTGGGGGTCAGCATCCCTAACCCTCTCATTGTTCAAGAGTCAACTGTATTCCAATTCAAACTAAACTAAGGTTTTCAGCATCCCTAACCCTCTCATTGTTCAAGACTCAACTGTATTCCAATTCAAACTAAATTAAGGTTTATCTGCAAAAGAATGATATTCTGCTGTGAGGCAGAATATAAGCGGTAGGTAGGAGGAATAGTGTTCATAAATGGTGCATTCTGTCAACACCATTTGGCAATTTAATAATGCAATATAATTATTAATTCATCTATGTGAAAATTCCTATAATTAATATAATTTTGAAATGGCTTCTATTGATAGATACAGAAAAAAACTGCAGCACAAATTTCATTCAGACAATTTTTTTCCCACGGGCATGTATGCTCTCCCCAGAGGCTATAAAATAATGTATTTTATTTTAAACTGCCTCTATGGGACTGATTGTTTGGAAATTACATACACCCTTTAAAATGAAAAATTCTACTATAGAATGTAGTGTCCATCAGCTTGTATTTTCAGGAAATCAACAATTAAATCATTAGTCTTTAACTGTCACTTCTCCTTCCTTAGATAGAAATCTAACTACCCAGTGGAGATTGGCAATGCTTATAAAGGAATTCGGGGCACTTTTTTTTTTTCCTAGAGTGACAAAGGAAAAAAAGCATACTGTCATAACAAACAGGATCTAGTCACAGATGTAATTTATGACGTGAGCGTAGTTTAGCATGCGCTCATGGTTCTGAACCTCAGTGTTTTTTTGTTCCTGTTGTCATTTTTTTCTTCTCTGCTTTCCACCCCCTCCATCATTAAGACCAAAGAAAGGACAAATGATAACTTTATATTAAGGTTGCAAGAGGTCCTCAAGTTGGCCAGGAGAGTAATTACCAGCTGGAGGCTTGCCAGGATCATCTGGCCCTTCTAAAAGGAGAAAGGGTGTTCTGACATTGAGGTCAGGCAACGTGATTAGGTGGAAACCCATTGCTGTCCTTGTAACTGCTGCCTCTCAGAAAGACTCCTTTGTCCCTTTACTACCTTTCCCAGTAGTTGGGGGATTAACACACACACACACACACACACACACACACACACACACACACACAGCAGAACCGAGAAAGGGAAACAAAAGGTTATTAAAATGCAATTTATAGACATAAAATGGAATTAGAGATGACATTTTAACGGTGGACTTCTTGGGAGCTGAGGGAGGGAGGGAGGCATTATTAGATTTGCTCAGCTTGATGAAGAACCGATGACTAAGATGTCAGTTCCAATTTATTTTTCCTCATTTAATTCTGTTTATTATTTTAACCGATAATTTTCCTAATGCTTTAAAGTTCTTCTTTTGCATTTTGCTCATGCAAATGGAGCATTTCCGTCTAATTGAACGAATCCATACTAATCAGTGTGCAAATAATTGTGATTCTGGGAAGCTGAGTTGTACACGGAGTCCCACTAGCGCGTTCCCGTGTGTCCTGTTATGGGACACTTTGCCTGTAGATGGCAACAGAGGACTAGTTACTAAGTAGCCAACTGCGAACTGAAACAAAAACGCGAGACTTCATATGACTCCCGTTTAACCGCAATGGGACTTGGATTTTTTTTTTCCTAAATGAAACGAAATGCACTTTTTTTTTTTTTAGGATTAAAATCTCACATTGCTGTTCTGTGAACACTGGGATAGCCTAGTTTATAATCAGAACACCAACCCCCCCCCCCCGCCAGCAGTTTTTAGTTTGAACACCTGGTGCCCCAGCATGTTGTTGCAATGCCTTTGTGAATTCAGAACTAGAAACTGTGAGCACGGCTCTGGTACCACACTTGAAAGCACTCATGAGCGTCTCTCTAAAGAAAAGCGTGCAAGTTGCATCCTCTCAGGGGACGGCATGGGGGTGTGGGCATACAGCATGATTACTGTTTTCCAATTGGGGGACTGAATCTTTCATTCCTAGGTAGCCAAAGACTGACATCTTATTCCAGGATGAACAACTTTGAGAACTTACTCTGTCTTCTATTTATTGTACCTTTTGTTGATCATAAGCACTTAACTGTACATACGCATTTTTAACATACAGTGAAAATTCTTTTTCCTTTTCTATATTTTCAGAGAGAAAACTTACTGTTTTATATTATATCTTTTTAGTTCTGAAATGTAATTAAGATTCACCTCTAAGAGTAGTTCTGCTTTTGAAGATTAACTCTTAAAGAAAGAAATCCAAACTGTTGTGACTTGTGAGGGTTCCTTTCATCTTTTATTTCATATGCATGAAGCCCTCAAATTTAAGCCTGATGGAGTAAGATGGGGAGGAGGGAGTCCAATCTGCTTTCTCTTAGGTGACTAAAACGGATTTCAGTACTTTATTTAATTGTAACGCATTTTCCATTCTATGGCATATGAAGAGGTGTTTATATCTTTTGAAATTGAGAGGACATTATTAAATGTGCATTCAAAACCTTGTCTGACAAATTAGATCTATTCTAACAAATTGGCCTCCGAGATATTCATGAGGGATTAGTGTCTTTTCTTGCCTTTTTATTTTCAATGTGCAGATTTAGGATATTAGCTAGTCACCCTGCAAAAGAGGCATGGTAACTATATCTCAATATAGAGTCAATGAAGAACAGCTTGGTCTGGAGTCGTAATTCTCTAGCACAATGTCGATCCACTGAGTTGCCCCCATTTCTCTCTGCTCAGCTGGACCACGGGTTTACCATCAAGAGATCAGGGTCTTTGGACTACTACCAACAACCAGGAATGTATTGGATAAGGTATGAGATGGTGCAGCTCAACAGTCAGTGTTTCCATGGCAACGTGCTGGCAGTCTCCATTAACCAGTTCCTTCAGTGGATAAACATGCTTTTGATTTGTTATCCAGTCCATATGCTGCTTTATCAGTTTCATTTTAATCTTGATTGAGATGCCACACCCCCTCATTCCTTTTTTTCACCCATTATTCACACTGACATTTGCCAGCTTTCTTTCCATTGCCCATGCTCAGTATCAATTTTCCTTACAGTTAAAAGGACAGTATATTTAGCGTTAATGCCAAAGCCTTTTCCTGATGTTGCTAATTAAAACAATGATTTCTGGTGCTCTTCTGTCCCGTAACAAATGGAAGAACAATGGTGCCTTAGCGTACGTTCTATAGAAGTATATACTGTCATTTTAAAGTCATCAAGCCCAACCTTGACCTTACTAGATGGATGAAACAATGCATTTACACGTTAGCAGTAGAAGCTCCTCCAAGTACAATGAGCTATAGAATGCATTGTGTGTGTTGGTAAGCTTGTGTTTTCAAATTCTCCACCTTTCTGTTTTGTTTTGTTTTCGTTTTAGTGTTACCTCTCTCCCCCTGGAAATCCCTTTATGTACTAGCTATTGCATGAATCTATTTTTCAATATTTTGTAACTGTCAGATTACTTAGCTGGCTTATCTGCAGAAGCAAACGGGGCTGTATATGGGAGGTATCGATTTTTTTTTTTTTTTTTAACTGGGTTAAGAATTCCATCCAATCATTTTCTATTCTAGTCAACTGCCCTGGCATTTCCTTCAAGGGGTATTGTTTGTGTCTCTTTAAGTTATCCACAGGCAGGATGGTTTTTGATGATTTGGAAAATTTACTCTGAGAAGTCCCAGGGAACTTTTCTCCTCCATCTTAATGTTTCTGAAATGATCTCCTGGTAAAGCTCCACATCTTTGTGTTTGCTAAGGAAAGTTCAGTATTTGTTTCCCCCAAACGATGGAGCCCATCTGTAGTAATGTAGTGGCTACCTGATGTTTTTTTCATGGATTAGACTACTAAATTTTACAAAAAGAGAAATATGTATGTATGTGTGTTTATATATATGTGTGTATGTGTATACACATACACACACATACAATACATAATTTTAACCCCCAATAAATTATTCCTAATTTTTATTTCTACACTCAAAACAAAGGACTTAAGGAAGCAATAAAGGGCACACTTTGACAAACTATCCAATATACTAAAATCATGATAATTTCCAAGTCTGTTTAAAGCAAGAAAACACCTAAACTTAAATGAAATGTTTTACGATCAGTTTTACACAGAAGCCTGTTTCTGTCTTCTAGACTGAGAAGCATGCAGGAGTTGCAACACAACCTTCTTATTTACTTAAGTAAAATAACTTTATAGGTATAGCAAGAACTTTGTTTTATTTTTAACCTTTTGGGGGGATTAATCATGATTTGCCTTTATGCAGACTCTTCTTTTTGATGTTTTAATGTAGAATATGGTCCATTCGTCTTTTACTTTTTACTGAAAGATAATCTGCATTCAGAAGGGTACAGGTATCACGAATGCACGTTCCAGTGAATTCTCACAAACGGAACACACCCCTGTAAGCAGGACCCAGATCGGGCACAGAGCATTTCTAGCACCTCCAGAGATCCCCTCCCTCCACCCCCCGCCTCAGGGCCCTTCCAGGAGGGTCACGTAGCCCCAAGGGTAAACACTGACCGGGACTCTATCCACATTAATTAGCTTTGCCTGGTTTTGTACTTTATATAAATCAAATCACACCATGCTCCGCCCTTTTTTTTTTTTGAATTGTATGCCTCCTAACCTCAGGCATAGTAGAAAAATATATATGAGTAAAGTTGATCTACAATTAAAAGTATGCATCAAATATGTCTAATTACAGTTGTGCATGTTTGTATAACAAAAACGGCACATACAAATATATAATTTCAAAAAGAAAACTCTAGAAAATGACGTTGCTAAATTTGTGGGAGTAAGGGTGGGAGCAAAATGCCAAGTAAACACAATAATTAATAAACATAGCCAAGTAAAAAAAGGCTATTTGACTAAAATCCTAGTGATGGTTCCCATCAGCAGACAAAATGACACATCCCTGAATAATGGGCAGGAGCAGATGGGAGATAATCTCTTTTTTCTTCCACACATAAACTGCTCTGTTTTCCAGCTGGGGGCAGTAACAACAATGTTTATAGTTAATGCTGTAGTAAACAGCAAACCCAGTATGTAAAGTTAAATTGGAGAAACGATGCTAAAAACTCATCAGCATATATGCTTAATTAGGAAGTTTTATAATGCCATTTAGCCTCAGAACGAACACACTCTCCTCACTGATTGCAAATGCTTGCCTTTTATCTCCACGGAAGTGGGAGCATTTGTCTAACCACGGTGGCAGCCAACTTCCAACATAAACAATCATTACAGGCAAACATCCCCGCTCCCGGTTGTTGTGTTTACAAGTGCTCATGGCTGTTTTCGCTACTCTGAGCAGAACACTTGGGAGTCGCCGGTTGCTTTTTGTAAAGCAGCTCACATCAGGGCATAGGCTAGAAAAAGCATCTCTTCGGGGTGCCCAGAATTGTCATGTCCCTCTTAACAGGCTTTTTGGTGATGGTGGAGAGTGGCGGGGGTCCATCTTCCTCTTTCTCCTTCGTTCTCTTGCCTCTTAACAGAGAGCTGCTTCCAAGCTGTAGCCAAGGCAGCAGCATCGTGCTTGGCCCGTTTTTCCAGGAGACCTTGCTCCTGTCACCTTGAGTCCAGAGGGGACCCTCCCCCAGGAGTGAGCCGCCTGGGCCATTCGGCTCCCTCATGGCCTTACTGCAAGCCACTGGAAAACATTTACATCTCATTACATTCCCCACCCCCCACCTGGTCCTGAAGATGCGTCCTAATCCAAAGGGGATGCGGTCACACATATTGTGTGCCTCTCTCAAGTGAAGCTGTCACTGGCAGGTGCTGAGGCCAACAGCACATGGAGAAGAACCCTGCATCTTTTGCAACGGCCAGAATGGGGTAACCCAATTAAATAAAACAAACATCAAAACAAGACAGAAGCTAAAAATGCTGAATACGATAAAACGCGGAGGTGAGCTAGGACAAAAGGGTGGTTGAGTTCCCAGGCATGACGTGACTCAAATGTGCATATTGGATTCAAGCACCGTCCTGAAACAGTGAGTAATGAGGCAGAGCGGTTGCAGCCCTACGCAGTCTTTGCAAGGCTATTAAATGCTGTCATGCTCGGCTGTTAAAAGGAATGGGGTCAGTTAAAGGCATCTTGCTTGGTGGGGGTCTGAAAGACGAGTTCCCACGAAAGCCAGGGAGGAACCCCAGCGTGGTGTCAGGAGGGCTCCTAGGCCAGCCTCAGCCCCAGCCAGACACCCACGGCAAGTTGCATGCGTTGTGGGCTGTTTCACTGCACGTCGCCTTGGCCTTGCTTGGCCCTTGAGAAAGTGCTCCCCGATGAGAGAGCACTGTCAGAGGGACGAGCAGATGCCTCTGTTCCAGCAAGGATTAACTACCCTACTCCACGCTAGCCCCGAGACTCCCTCTGTAACAGAGAGTTTAACACGGAGAGGAGACAGAGATTTAAACTTCGAAACCCACCCAAACTGTGGTTACAGAGAAAAGGATCAGGCAAGTAGGAGGTCTGCGTTTGCAGCCTTGATGTTAAAAAGTGAAGCCGCCAAGAGGCTCAAAAGATGGGTGATGCCTCGCACTGTCCTTCCACAAACGGTATTGAGAGGAGCACAGAGAGAGCAAGACATCTGTGTTCTTTCCCCAAGTCAAACAGGTTGCTCACTGTTGGAGATGTTCTTTTTCTTTTCAGAGGCCTCTTAAGAGAGGATGCCAACCATATCTCTCTGTCTTTTTAAAAATATAACTTTCTTGTTACTGAAATGAGAAGTGGCCATGGCATTCCAAGACTTACTAATTGGCTGTAAACTGAAGCGAGATTTTATACTTCTCCTGACATCCTCAATGATTCGGTATCAATTGAAAGTTTGGTGGTATCCTATCCTATTTATTTTTGACCTTGCTTAGGAATCTCTTTTTTTCTTTTTGATTTTAAAAAAAAATCTCGACTCATCTACATATTTATTCCTGCCATACTTTGACTCCAAACATTCCCCAGTGATGGTCATTGATATGCTATAGGTTTTATTAGGTGTAAACATGTAGGAAAGGAGAATCATGAAGAACTTAATCATGAGTATAGACACACTGTTATTTATTCAGAAAGAGTGCAAATGTCCATCTGCTGAAGTCGGACGATTCTCGGATTCATGTCAGCCACATGACACTTTCAGAAACCAAAAAGTCTTGAAAAGTGAGATGAAATGAACTTGGGCCAAGATTGGCAGCATGGCGCGAGGAGAGTTGGCCACTTTGCTGTCAGGAAGCCCGGGTTGGGGATCTAGCCCGTGGTGCTTCCCGCCGTGTGACCTCAGGCAAGTTACATGGTTTTCTCTGATTCTCCATTTCCCCATCTATACGCATGAGAAGAGTATGACCGACCTCCCAAAGCTGTGGTGAGGGTTAGAGTTGCCTATGCCAAAGTGCCTTCACCAACCCCACAGCCCAAAGGAGGAGCTCAGAAAAGACGGCTTCCCTCACAGGATCTCCCTCACTTCCCCGAGAAAACCATCCACTCCGCACAGCAGCCAGATTTTCCTGAGAAAACGGGTCTCCTCGCTGCAGATCGAAGCATTTGTGATTAAACTTGAACTTTTTTGATGCTCTGATTGGGAGAAACTGCTAAGTAACTTACAGGATTCATGAGCATTTGTGGCATTAAATTTTACTTAAGGTAGTCTGTTGCCAAAAATCCTAGGGAAGTGTAAGTTTTAAATGTTACCCTCTAGGGCAGAGATTGGCGAACTACAGTCAATGGGCCAAGTGGCGCCCGCTGCCTGTTTTCGTGAAGAAAGTTTTATCGGGAAGCAGCCACACTCATTCATTTATAAATTGCCTATGGCTGTTTTTGTCAGAGAGTTGAGTAGTTGGGTCAAAGAATTGTTTGGCCTGCAAAGGCTAGAATATTAACTATTTGGCCTTCCCAGAAAAAATTTTTTGACTCCTATTCTAGGGGGAAAATGTTTCTAAATTAAACGCACCTTCTGGTGGGCTTGTTAA